TGACTGGCAGGCCAAGGTCAGCCAGGCCAGTCCCCAATCCTTTGCTGTGGCAACACTGCCCAAGAGACTAAGTCACTGTGTAGAGAGGTTGAATGATGGAAAGAGGCCCAGAAATGCAGGTGGGAACCCCAAAGGTACCTACCTCTGCACAGGTAAAAACCCAAGCAGTGATAAAGGTAAAACACAGTATGCTCATGACAGGATGAAAAAGGAGGCAGGGAAAAAGGATGCCCGCTACTTGGAGAGGACCTGCCAGATTCTTCTCCCATCACTTACCAAATATGGTCGAGTGCTTGACAAAGGCCACCTCCCCAGCATCATCCTTCAGACACCTATACAAAAGGAACATATTAGAGGGCTCCTGTGGGGCAGGGTCTGATCACACTGTCCAGCCCTTGGACAAGCACAGAGCCTGGGGGAGGTCTCCATGCAGCCCCCACAGCTAAGGCAACACCATGGGGTGCTGACATCTAGGGTACCATGGAGATGGGAGGAGGAGCTCACATGAGATGAAGGTCCCTCACCATATACCCCAAAGCAGCAAAAAGCAATTGAAGATATTTTAATGTAGAAAAGAGTTTTTAAACTTCTGGAATAGACGATAACAGCATAGTGTCTCCTGAGAGTGGAAATGTGCCTTTGGCTGGCTATAAAACTTTAGGATATAACAAAGGTGAAAAGATGGAGTAAGAAATCAGCCCCATGAGCTGTCTGGATAGGGGTAGTGAGCAGGCAGGAGAGAGGCCAGTGCATTGAGCAGGTAACATTGCTGGAATAAAAAGAGAGGATCAGTCACTGAACAGGAGTGCTAGGGATGTACCTGTCCTTTCAGGCTCTGCCTGGTCCAGTGAGAGAAGACACTGCCAGGCTCGAAGGTTATGGGGAAAGAGAAAAGGGCCCCCAGAGAAGGGCTTGCTTGTCAGGGTCAGCTGAAAGGGAGCATGGGCTGGCCTGCCCTCAGGAGTCCCAAATTATAGCACTGACTCATGGGAGGGGATTAGGCCTCCTTGATGCCCCTATTGGCAGGCAGGGCTCTGCTCTGGGCCAGCAAAGAACTCTCAGCCTGAGGACATTTGGCATCCGTGGAGTAGCAGACAATCTCACTCACTTGAAGGCGCCTGAGTAACCGAAGTATGGTTGAAGGGTGGAGCAGCCACACCCTGGACACAGTTGACACAGTTGGGGGAAGTCTGCCCCATCTGCACAGGGAACGCAGCTGCCCGAGAAGAAATTGGCTGCTGCTGCTCAACACAGAAAAACATGGCATGAGCAAAGCTGGCCACAGCCAATGACATCTCCCAGCCCAGGTTCATTAGGAAATAGAGAGAGACTAAATCAAAACCACTAAACCCAGTCCCAGCTTACATGTGCTAACTCATCAAAATCAAGAATTTCCAAACAGGAACGAGTTAACCTCTGCCTCACCATGACCCATCCAAGGAAACAGGCCTGTACTTCCCACCAACTGAGGCCTGTCTCAGGCCTTTGTCAGCCTACCTCCATCCCAGCCTTGTCAGAGGCTGGAACAGCTCAGAAAGCAGTCTTCTCTGGGACCCATGCACCAGAGATGGTAAAACCATCTAGAGAGATACAGGCCAACCTCGTGGCCAGCAAACGACCACCAGAGAAACCCCCAGCAGAATGAGACACACATCAGCACTGACAGGAAGGAACTCCAGGGAAGGAGACAAGAAGGCCCAGCCACTGAAGTCCAGACTGAAACCCTCTGTCAGGCTCTTGTATCCTTTCTTCTGATTATCAGGCCAGCTTCTGCTGGGGTGCTGGAAGCTCAAAGCAGAAAAGGCTCAGCTGCCACCTCCCAAGGGCCTCTAGTGCAGCAGACCTGCCAGCTTAAAGCTGGTTAACCTACTTCCCCCACCCCAGAGTTCCTCACACATGTCCAGCTGATCATTACTGTGTGACCCAAGTGTGGCCTGCATGGGCATCTGAAGGAGAGACGCCTGCTGAGGGCACCCACCCTCCTGCCAACTTACCTTTCTCAAGAGGCTTACGTGGCTCAGGTAAGTCACAATAAAGTAAGCCCATGGGGATGTTCCACCCAGCAGACCTTCCAAGGCCCGTGTGGCAGGACTTCTTGCCTCGGAGCTCGTTCAGCTGGAAGTCGCTGCCTTTCTTCACCACAGCCACAGCATAATAGTATGTTTGTGGACCTGCAAAGGGACAGTGTGAATGGAAGACCCTCTGCCTGGCACAGGGAAATACTGCTCATCACTAGATTCTTGAGAAGGGAAGAAGAACCCAGAGGCCACACTTTGGGTTCAGTGGTAAGGAGGGAGGAATCAAGAAAACCTTCCCAGGCTTGCAGGGGAAAGAAAAACCACAGCAGATACATTTGTAATACCCCTCCACAAACGCAGGGGCAAGCAGGCCACATGCACATGTGCTCCTGAGTGCTTTGCCTACCCTGGCCCTGCAGTGTGTCTGCCTACACCTATCAAACAAGCCTACTAGGAAACTGGAGCTGTGGCAACAGAGGACCACAATATTCCTGCCTCCTTCAAAGTATCTGCTGTCCCCTGGCACAGGCCCAGGGACAGTTGGGTTGATCTCAAAAGTCTTAGAAGACTTGCAGGGCTGTTGGGTCTGAGTGTGAGATCCAGAGTGGTCTCTCCCTTATGTGTGACACCTGTGGTTGCAGGGAGCCTCCAGGGACCCTAAACACAACACTAGACCCCAATAGCCTTCAGGGCAAGCTGCACACAGCCTGCTCTGTTTCTCCGAGGAACACATTCTTAGCCCAGGGGACCAGTGTCAGGATCACTAGCCCTCAAGTAACCCAAAGCCCCCAGAGGCCTTGATTTGTGCCTGTGGCAAGTGACAGGGCCCTTCATTCCTCACTCAATCCCCAAACATGAATGTTCCTTAGTATCTGATATCCAATATCTGCCTGTAAAACACAAGACTTAGCAGCTACCAGGAGAGAACAAGGACCACACGCTCCCTCCTGGACTCCCAGGGAGAACTTACGCTCTTTGGACCCATAGAACTCTGCCACCACAGGCTTCAGGTTGTTGGGAGTCAGGCCTGCCTCATACACCAAACCTGCGTCCAGCGTCACGGCATCTGCTTCGTTTGCCTGAAAGAGAACGGACCAGACCTCCATGAAGCCTCACTTCCGAGGAAGGCCCCCTAAACGCGGACAAGTAGGGACTGACTCAGTGGGACTCTACGGGTCTAGGGCCAGAAGAACCCTCAAGATGGCCAGACCAAACACAATGCCACTGGTTTCAGCTGACTCTCTCTCTCAAAAGGGCACTAGGCCACCATAGTCCGTCCAGCGTCACGGCATCTGCTTCGTTTGCCTGAAAGAGAACGGACCAGACCTCCATGAAGCCTCACTTCCGAGGAAGGCCCCCTAAACGCAGACAAGTAGGGACTGACTCAGTGGGACTCTACGGGTCTAGGGCCAGAAGAACCCTCAAGATGGCCAGACCACACACAATGCCACTGGTTTCAGCTGACTCTCTCTCTCAAAAGGGCACTAGGCCACCATAGTCCTATTTCTCCTGCATAGGAGGGATGGATTGCTTTTTCTCCTTTCCCTGGTGAGACATCCAGCTCCTGGCCAAAAACCCTGTCTGGATTTACCCTAGGCAATTACAAAGGCTTTTGATAAGGCAGGCCTCCTGGGGGAAAGCTGCCCTCCCTACCCCAGACCTGCTACACAGCCAGAGCCCTGCAGTCTCTGAAGGGGATTCAGTCAAGGACTCAGGTGCCTCTGGACGGCCACGCTCTTAACCTGTTTACATTCCTGGCCCATGGCCTTCATTCAGAGACCTCTTTATTTGAGACTTCCTATGAGGTCTTCCTCACGTGGCTGTGCAGAGACCTCCTTCAGGGGGTGGACGGAAACCTTGAAGACACTCGTCTCCACTCTGACCCAGTACTCAGTACTTTTTCTTCCTGTCCTGGGTCAGTAACACTGCAGGGGCCTTCTGTTCAGGGATGGGCACTTTCTCTGGGTTTAGCTTCTTGGTTATACTATGTCCTCAGTGATAAAAGGATTAATTATGATTTCTGTTTTCGCTCATTTTTGGTATAGTCGTTTACTCTCACACCTGGGCAGCTCACCTCTCTTTCCATCTCAGCTCCACTTTACACGTGAGAAAACTGAGGCACAGAAAGGTTAAGTCACTTCCCTGGGCCGTGTAGCGAAGTCATGGAGCTGGGATTTGAATCCAGGAAGTCTGGGTTTATTTCTTATCATTACACTGTTACTTCAGGTTTTAAATATATATATATATATATTTTATTTCTTTAATTTTTTTTTTACTTTATGTTTCTGTGAACCCTCATCTTTAAATCAACAGGTCACTTAAAAAATTATAGCTGTCTTCCCACTAGGTTAATAATTTTCTCTTTACATGAATTCTTAAAATGAGCCAAACCATCTTTTACGTAGACACTTAAAAACATATTTTTACTTTTACTTGTTTTTGCTTCAAATATCTTTAATCAAAATTATTTTTCCAGAAGCCCTTGCAGTTCTCGAGGTATAGTTCTTAGTGATCAAATTACAAGGCAAAAACTATAGCTGCATGATTTCTGTCATGTTACAGGTAGGTAATAAGACAATAGTATTTCTAAATGAAATAACATATTGATGTAAGCCAAACTATGTCTTTGTCTAGCTGAAAATTTTTTTTTAATGGCTGGGGTTGTTTTTGTTGTTGTTTTATTGTAATAAAGTATATATAACATAAAATTTACCATTTAACCATTTTTTTTTTTTTGTCTTTTTGTCTTTTTCCGTGTCCGGCAATGGATCGCAACCCTCAGTGCTGTCCCCGTACCGGACCGGGGACTGGCAACAGGATTGCAATCCTCGGCGCCGCTCCCGCTCCTCGCTCAGCCAGTGAGCGGGAACCGGTCTGTATGTGGGATCTGAACCCTCGGGCGGGAGCGCCACCGCGCTTCCCAAGCGGCGCACTTATCCAGTGCGCCACCGGGCCGGCCCCCATTTAACCAATTTTAAGTGTACATTTTAGTGGCATTAATTAAATTCCCACTGTTGTGTAACCATCACCACTATCCACGTCCAAGACTCTTTCATCTTCCATAATTAAAATCCATTAATGTACCCATTAAGCAATTACTCCCCACTTACCCCCTGCTCCAGCCACTGCTAACCATTATTCTACTTTCTGTATCTATGAATTTGACTAGTCTAGATACCTTATATAAGTGGAATCATACAATATTTGTCCTTTTATATCTGGTTTACTTCACTTACGTTTTCAAGGTTTATCCATATTGTGACATGTATCAGAATTTCATTTATTTTTAAGACTGAAAAATATTTTATTACATACCATATTTGTTTATTCATTTACCCATGAATGGACATTTGGGTTATAAAACATTCTTAATATGCAAATACACAACAAAAAAATGTTTAAAAAATAATTGAAACATCTACTTTCGGTGCCATAAACAATTAGAAGACATGATGGACCTTTCTGTTCCACAACAAGAAGACCCCAGATACAAAACACTTTTGGACTGGCCAGTTAGCTCAGTTGGTTAGGGCACTGTTGGTTAGGGACTGGGCATTTTCTCTGGGTTTAGCTTCTTGATTATATTATGTCCTCGGTGATAAAAATCATGATTATGACTTCCATTTTCGCTCATTTTTGGTATAGTCGTTTACTCTCATACCTGGGCAGCTCACCTCTCTTTCCATCTCAGCTCCATTTTACAAGTGAGAAAACTGAGGCACAGAAAGGTTAAGTCACTTCCCTGAGCCATGTAGTCAAGTCATGGAGCTGGGATTTGAATCCAGGAAGTCTGGGTTTATTTCTTATCATTACACTGTTACAGTGCAGTGTTATAACACTGAGGTAAAGGGTTCAGATCCCCATACTGGCCAGCAACCAAAAGAAAAAACAAAAACAAAAAAACCCCACTCTTGTGGCTTTGTCAAAACCTGCAGAAACTTTCCCCACCCCATCCCTCACAGCTAATAAGCCAACAAATAAAAGCTTTGCACAGTGCAGTGGGGGTTGGGGAGAGTGTTCCAAAACCTGGGCTTTCTTGGCCAAGACACCAGGATCCTGGGGAGGAATCACTGGAGGCTTAAGGGCTCGAGAAGCCAACAAACCAAGGACTAAAACATGGGTCTAGCGCTAGAGCAGCAGAGATTCCCAGGGGACCTGAACCAGTAGGGAGCGACAGGATTAAAGTCAGCACAGGATTAAAATCAAGAATGATCTCACAGGTCAAGATAACCAAAGCCAGAATAAGTAAGCCACAGTGAGTGAGCGGGGGAGAAGCCTGGGTGACAGGAGTGCAGCAAGCAGGAAGAGACTGAAGAGAAGAGGAGAAACACAACAGACCAGTTCTTATACACCAGCACCGATAACTCGAGGTAAGCCAGGCTCCATCTGGCTGTGTCTACTCCTCCCTCCTCCCTCCTGCCAGTCTCTTCCTGCTTTACTCTGAGAACTGCAGAACTTTCTGCACATGAGAAGTCTGTCCAAACCCCTGCACTAAGAGACTCAACCGAAGTCTAGCATGGCTTCAAGCAACATAAGGCTGTTCTGTATCTCTAGAACAGCCCCAGCCTCTCGTAATGTGCCTGCCTGAGAAAGCTCAATGCTAATCCCTGCACTAAGAGACTCAACCGAAGTCTAGCATGGCTTCAAGCAGCATAAGGCTGTATCTCTAGAACAGCCCCAGCCTCTCGTAATGTGCCTGCCTGAGAAAGCTCAATGCTAATAGGAAAATTTAGTTTGTTCTAGCCAACACACACCTGATGACAGGCCCCTGATTGCTCTTTCTGAAAGCATTCACTAAAAAGGGCTTGCAATGGTGAATATATATCTCTTCCAATTCAGAAACATCTCTCTCAAGGAACTGAGAGCCATTCCTTTGAAACACAATCATCAGGAAGGACAGGGCGTCTGTGTCCCAGTCTCTGTGGGAGGATAGAACCCTAACTTAGAGAACTGCCAGATAGCAGACATAACTGTCCTAATCGCATTTACACTGACCAACCCCTTGTACTTTTTTACGTTTCTGACTCTACTGAATCCCTGTGCTCCCCCCTTCCTCATTCTTCCTGTAGAACACCCAAATCACCTCTGCACAACTCAGAATAGAGCTCAGCTCTTTCCCTTACCGTCAGTAATTACTGAATAAAATCTGTTTTTACTGCTTTATCCACTGTTTGGCTGTGTATATCTCTGACCACTCTCATCACCCCAGCTTCCCTAGCAACTTTAACAAGCCCAGCTCTGCCTGGCCTCAGGCCCTTTGCACCCTGCCTGGTATATTTTGCCCGTGGGTCTTTGCTGGCTTGTCCCTCGGGTCTCAGCTTCATTGCTTCCCTCTTAGATTGTCCCTGACCACCCAGGCTGAAGCGGGTTTCTCTGTGAGTCCCTGGCAGAATGCTTTACTCTTTCCCATCATTGTACATCCCGCATTTTGAAATTTGTCTACTTGTTTGTGTATTTTTTTCCTCTTCTGACTTGGTCGTGAGCTCCTTGAGGGTGAGGACCATATGGGTTTAATTCACCACTGCAGCCCCATTGCCTAGCACAGGGTCTGACCCACGTTCAGATGCACAGGAGCGATGCTGACAGAGTGAAGAGTAGTTTTGTAAACCTAGAAAACTAAGGGATCCACCATCACCTGCAATCCTGACACTTTATTCTTCCTCCCTGTGCACGTAACTCACCTTCCTGATGAAGAACTTCCAAACAAAGTTAGGTAATCATTTTGATAGCAGATATCCTTGTTTTTCCCCTGAGTTCACAGAACTTAGTGTCTCAAAATAGTCACCTTTCAGAGTACACTGACTTTTACTTTCCAGACATTTTAAAGATGGGCTCTCCTATTTCTGTTTTTGGAGTGATTTTAATAGCAGTGGAGGCTGACTGCCCCAGGCATCAGCCTTCTACCTGTGAGTAGAGAATTGTTCCAAATGACGGTAGAAAAGAGAAAGCCTGGATTTTCTTCCACTCTCTTTTAGGCAGCAGCGACTTACCGCAATGGCTTTGATACAGTCAAGGTAAGAGGCTTTCTTCACACAAACAACGCGGAGACCATCTGCTGGAAGGACTTTTTTCATATTGTCACGGAAACTGTGGCACTTACTGGCCTCATGATCCGACACGGCACACCATCTCACGGTATTCTCAGGGACAGCCAGACACAACCCTGCGGGAGAGAGGCCAGAGGTATAGGGGACCCACTCCCTGAGCTGGAGGAGAGACAGCACCACCCTGGAAAGCCTTGCCAGCCACCACCTTCTGTCCTGCCCTCCTCACTCTCGTCCGTGAACACCACAGGGCACAGGTTCCATTGCATTCTGAGACTGGGCCAACAGAAGGGCACCTTAACGGGCTCCTGGTTTCCTGCTAACGCGCCACCCTGGAAAGCCTTGCCAGCCACCACCTTCTGTCCTGCCCTCCTCACTCTTGTCTGTGAATACCACAGGGCACAGGTTCCACTGCATTCTGAGACTGGGCCAACAGAAGGGCACCTTAACGGGCTCCTGGTTTCCTGCTAACGCTCTGTACTGGCCAGAGGGATGCAAGCGTGACCATCAACCCCCAACTGGAGATGACAGTCTGCTCCTCAGTATTCTCCTTCCCTCCTTCCCTCACTGTCATGCCTCCCGGCCTGCCATGGAATGTAAGCCTCGGTGCACGCTTGGCATTTTCAGCCACCTCAATACATTGGCTCGATACTACAACTCTGGGAAGTCAGCAGGGTAGGAATTAGCATCTTTTAGAAATGAGGGAACTGGACTCAGAGAATCATGCTTTTTTGCCTACGGCCACCAACCCAGGCCTAGAACCTAGGTCACCAGACTCTTGGTCTGCTGTCCAGGGCACAAAAGAAAATAACATCTGAAGTTGTTTTGCCCCTCCATGGCCAGTAATTGGGGTGAATAAATGAAAAGATGATGCATTTGCCTGTGACACTCATCTGTCATAGCTATATCCATGTGGTTGCAGAGCTTTTGTCCCTATCACGTGAGCTTTGGCACCATGCCCAAGCCATCTCCACTCCCTGAGAGCCAACATAGCGGGACTGACTCTGATGAAGATCCTCAAAGCACAAAACGTGAGATGGGGAGGCCAGCAGTTCTGCGGGATGGATAAGGAGAGACCACGAGCGACTGACTGCCCCGACCGCCCCCTTTATTCCACCTCGGCCCATGGGATATCATAGGTGACATCATAAGTCAGTGGCAGACCCTCCCCAAAACCACCCCTCCTGAGTTTCCATACGAAAGAATTTGTCCTCAGTCATGTGTCACCTTGCACAGCCCTGTGAAGTGTCCTGAGGGGGTAAGAGGGCCCTCTCTGAAGGAGTTGATAGTTCTTCCGGAGAGACAAATCACCACATATGGAAGGCTCCAACAGTGTGACAAATGCCCCATGAGTGGCAGGCAAAAGAGTGCCCAGGAGGCCCAACAACCTCAGCAGCCGGGACAGGGAAGGCCACGAGGAAGAGTGCCCACAGCAGGATTCGTGTAGCTTGCTGGGGCCTGGCATCACGACCTCCCCCACCCTCACCTGACCCTCCCAGGCAGGTGCTCCTGCTATTACCCCTGTCCTGGTGAGGAGCTGGGCCAGGATTTGGACCTAGAAGTCTGGTGTCAAATCTGCTCTGAACCACTCGATGACACTGCCTCCTCAGCAAGGCACCCGTGGGAAATCAGACTATGAGGGAAAGGGGGCCGGGAGTACGGTCGGATCCCAGGAAGCCCCGAATGCCTCGCTGAGTTTGGACTTGACTGAAGAGGCAGCAGCTAAGAGTTCTGATAAACTGTGATTAGAAGTGCTCTGATTTAGGGAGAGTGCGGCGCTACCAGCGCCCCGAGGCCGCGGGTTCGGATCCTATATAGGGATGGCCTGTGCGCTCACTGGCTGAGCGGGGTGCCGACGACACCACGCCAAGGGTTGTGATCCCCTTACCGGTCAAAATATAAAAAAAGAAGTGCTCTGATTTATCGTATTCCACTGCTGCCAGATCTGCGCACAAACGAGGAGGCCAGGAGCACAGTGAAAGGTGACCAAAGGCCCAAGCAGGGGCCAGCAGGGGCCAGCAGGGGCGCGCGGGGCAGGGCTGCTTCTGGGACAGCGGTGTAGAAAGTGAGAAGGGCATGGCGGGGACGAGCGAGGAAGAGGCGCCCCGCTTCCAGTTCCAGCCTGAGGCACCCCGATCCCAGCCTGAGAGGCACCCCCTGAGCGCGGAGCCCGGGCGGCGCGGTGGCCGGTCCGGCTGCAGGGGCCGCCCGGGGCCGGCTATTCTGCGGTCCTTCCCTGAGCCCGCACTCACCCAGGACGGCGCAGGCCAGCAGGGCGCGGACGGCGAGCCTCATCCTGGGGTCTGCGGAGTGGAGTGGCTTCTGCGCAGCCTCCCCGCGCCCCTTTATCCCCCGCCGGGGCTGGCTGGGCGCAATCTTTGACCTCCTGTGTTTGCGCAGCCCGGTTGCCCAATCGCCCCCTCTCCAGTCCCCCTTCCTTACTCTCCCCGCTGATCACCTCATTTCCTGAACTCTGGGACAGACCCGCAGATGGAATCCAGCACAAAAATGCTGACTGGAAGCGAAATAAAGCAAGTTCCGCCCCTTGTTATTTGCTGCTCCTTTTGTGCCAGGAGCCTGACTATGGTGGGGTGGAAGCGGGACTGGCTCCGCTCCTGAATCCAGAGCTGCCAGAGCTGCTCCGTGCCACAGTCCTGTCTGCTTAGTCCGCAGATAGAGACTCTGAGGCCTGGAGAGGGAAGGGAACTGCCCCAGGCCCCAGGCTAGAACCAGAGAATGACAGGGAAGCCCATCGTGGGAGAGGATGTAGAAGAAAGCTGGGCTCAAGGTCGAAGAGGTCAGACTCAGCACCCTTTGCTCCTCTCCAGGTGTCCTGGAAATCCTGCTCCTGAGCTCTCAAAGGCCCACCCTGAAGAACTGCTCTCTCTCCAAGACTGCTGAGCTGGAAAACTTCCTGCCCTCAAGCTTCCTGTGGGACACCTTGGGCTAGAGACAGAGTCACAGGGGAGATGCACTCCCTCCCATACGAAGCTGCCAAGAATGTGGTCAAGACAGTGCAAAACTCAGAACGTGCAGTGTTAGCACCAAGAAAGTGGCTGTGGGGGATGCGGCCTGTTCTTACAGACTCTGGGCCGCCTGGTTCCCCTCTCGCCAAGCAGTCTCCAGACTGTTTTGATTGCATATTCTTATCATGAAAAATATCGAGCTTGTTTCTTCTCTATATGTATTTTTTTTTAACTAAAAATTATGTACATTTCAATCATGCCCAAGGAAAAGAAATTTATAAAAGGATAAGATAAAAATGAAACACTCTTTTTTTTTTTTGGTGGCTGGCCAACACTGGAATCCGAACCCTTGACCTTGGGGTTGTAACACCATGCTGTAACCAACCGAGCTAACTGGCCAGCCTCACACTTGTTTTTAAATGTAGTTCTGCTTATACTTCCTTAAATAAGAGGAATAATATCTTAAAGCACAATATATACTTAGTGAAAGGTCAAGTTTCCTCAAACCAAGTGTAAATCCAGAATTCATAGAGTCATCAAAATAATTGACTATTTTTACTTCTTATCCAAGCTGATTCTCCCTCATACTTTAGTTGACAAAGGGCTTATGCCAGGCCTCATTGCTGTGTCAGTTCGGCTGTTTTATTCTTGTTTGCTTATGTTTGTGTTATCAGAATTATTAATTCTGGTTTCTTTGCAGTAATCTTTTTAAGGCCCTTGTGTGTCTTGTGAGGGTTGGAGAATTAAATCCAGATTATCTAATCTGTACATCCATTTAAACTGGCACATGCAAACCACAAAATGTGGAAACAAAAAATGCCAAAAACAAGGGGG